GTGAGTCACATATGATACATATCTTTTACAGACCTCTACATCATCAGTGTGATAACCCCCCCCTCAAAACCCCCTTATGTATACAATCAGATACATGCAATGCACCGATCATCCACCAGGGGGCCGATATTCATTCACCATAGGCCCTATAATTGACACAACCAAAACAGAGGTTTCAAAAAATTCAGATAAGTTCAGATAAGAAAAACATTCAATTCAATTTCTGATACTTTAATAGCAATATTTACTGGATTGATGCAATTTATAATTACGTATTTCATTGTAAAATCGTGTTGAAAATGTGTGTATCAACTTAGATACAGCAGATATGTAAGGTAATAAATGTATACAAATGTAAATCATATTTTATTTTCCTTCATTATGCATTTAATTAGGCTGCATACACTTTTTAGATTATTTAAGTAAACTAATTCAAGGTTTAGGATAAACTTTATTAGACATATTTAGAGCAGAAATTTAAATATTTTTAGCATCTATTGCATTTTCCTGCTGTATCAAGATAATAAATGATTCAATAATTTGTTTCCAAGGTTCACTTCCTAATAATTGTCTGTTGCTCATTGATTTTAACTAAAAACTGAGCAATTCAGAGAATAGGCAGTAATTTGTGTTTGGTGTGTATTTGTCAATTACTTTCCAAATATATAACGTAATCCTAAACAAAACTCATTTATGCAAAGTGATATTAATTAATTTTTTGCCATAAGGTATAATAAACGCTCTAATTTCAAATAATTAGATGTTTCACAGGGTTAAAATGAAACTAAAATGTAAAAATGCCTCTAGATAATGCGATTAGATGGGACCGTATATTGTGTAGAAGAGTCATGTTTTATTAATCTATTTATTCTTTTCATTTAGAAGTCACTTCTGCTTCTGTAGGTTGTCTTTTGTAAGATAATAAATAAATAAATGAACATTAAAAAAAACTATTAGGTAGTTGTTTTAATTATGACTGAAAAGTAAAGCTGCAAAGATTAGTCACTTAATGGATTAGTTGTCAACTATTACAATAATTCCCAGCTATTTTGATAATTGATTCATCTCTGCGAGTCCTCATTTAAAGCAAAAATGTCAAAATTCTCTGATTCCAGCTTCTCAAATCTGGATATTTCTGGTTTCTTTCCTCCTCTATGACAGTAAACTTAATATATTTGTGTTGTGGACAAGCAAAGATCTTCGAGGACGTCATCTTGCGGTTTAGGGAAACACTGAAACACTTTTTACCATAAAAATAATCATTAGTTGCCGCCCTAATGACAAATACGCATTACGTATAACACAAAACACATTTAATAATACCAAAGGTTTAGTTTGTGATGTACATTTTGGTTTTGGAAACTTAAATTCAAACTGGTGAAAACTGAAAACTGATTTTATACATTTTGTATTCGGATTTATAAACATTTTTATTAAAAGGAACCAGATGAGAATTTTGTATATAATATTAAATACATAACCTTAATTTAATCGGGGAAATATTTTGCTTGTAAAGCCAAAATTTAATGAAAAATGCAAAAAGTTAAATCTTGTAAATTAGTGATTTAAGAAAAGTTTAGATTAAGGATGTAACATTTTAAATGTCAAATCAACATTTACATTTTGTTTTAGAAGAAACAAATTACTCAAATTTCATGCAAATCTCAACAGTAGTTCAAACCCTTGTGTGGACTTAACTCCCCATTTTTATGTGTGTTTTTGTGGTGATTTTATAACCAGGTAGTCAAAAATGATCCTAAGACAATATTTCTACCCAGGTGGTTTACAGCTTACGTGAAAATATGAACAAAGGCAATTTTTTTTAATTCACTCATCAAATTTTCAAAGTTGGAAACAAATATTATTTAGTTTTCCCCCCTCTGCTGTTAAACAAAAGGGGCAGGTCAATTTTGACCCTTAAGACAACACCAGGTTAAGAAATTTCCTCTTTGCAAAATTATATTGTGAATGATTAAAAAAGTGTCAGCGGCGTTAATCCAACCCCCCCCCCCCCAAAAAAAAAATCAATCAGCACACAGACGCTCATTTTAAGTTCACTCACTTTATATTTAACAAAAAGGGAAAGAAAATCAGCATTTCATGAGTTACAACAGCTTATAGTGGTAGCTGGATGAGATGTACAGGTCCATCTGAATCTCTGGCTTACAGGTGAAGCAGTCATCGTTTAAAAACTTAGACTTTTAGTGGAAATTAAACGAAACACGACGCACCAAATGTTGGTCGCCTCCACAAAACGTCCTCGCAAAGTTCCATGAGAGCAAAATGACGAAGGATAGCGTTTCAAAAAACAAAACAAAAAAACAAATCTCTGTTTTCCTGTCGAAACCTCAGATAAAACCGGGAGACAAAAGTGCTTTGAAAAGAAAAAAAAAAATTGACAACCTTTTTTTAATCTTTTTACATTTCTACTTTCTTTGCTTTCAACCATGTTCGTCTCAATCTGTACAAAATGTCCATTTTCAAGTCAAATCACGTTTTAACGACACGCTGAGGCGTCTTGATTTTGTCTCGTTTCACTCAGCCAGGTGTCGTCATTACATATTTATCTTTTACTGTACCTTTCTGTCAAATCTGTGAAGCCCTAAAAGAAGACAGGAGTTTCGAAAAGGCCGGGTATCGAAGCGAAACACTTATTTGCACCGAATTCTGTCCACAGCACTGAGGTAGTAAAAGTTAACATTAATCAGTCAGTTTGAGAATCTTGTTGAATTTTCTTTTCTCACGATTAAAATGTAAATTTGCACGTTTTCGTGGCGTCCAGTAAACATCACGTCATCCCTCTACTGTCAGCCGTCAAGTCAAAACATAAAATGCCCCTAATTAACAATATAAATATAAAAATGGCAGAATTTAAACTTTATTTATCTGGACAAAGTTCTCATTTTGGCGGCTTGAAAGTTGGCTCCAAATAAGTGTTTCTATTTCTTAAAGTAAGGTTTAGAAAAAACATTTTGGTACAAAGATCCGTAACGCGACACCCAGCCCAACATATCAATAATCAGTGATTTCACTCCTTCAGTTTAGTGATTTATACCCTCAAAGCTGGGATTTTTCTTGGTTCCCTTAAAATATTAAATCAAGTACTCAGATTACTTAATTAATTCCCTAAAATTCCTAATTGTGTCACTTTGAGTGCTTTTAGATTCAGTAGTTTCATTTGATCTTTGTCTGAATTAAATGGATTTTGTCTTAATATTGTCACCTTTGACATCCCGTATCACACATCAGGACGACAGATTGTTTCACTACGTTTGTGATACTTCAGATGTTTTCCCAGTTCAAAAAACTATTTTTTGAAGAAACAACTCCGCTCAGAGGAGAACACAGAGTGATTTAGCCTTTAAACAAAACTGTACAAATCATTAATCCAAGAGAGCAATGAGGTAAAACTGAAGGTTTGAGTCACTAAATTAAGGACAAATATAAGCATAGCAAAATAAAAAATAAGCATAGTGAGCTCAATTTATTTGTTTGAGGAAACAATTTACCAAAGAAAAAAAAAAAAAAAAGTTCCTCGACACCAACCAGACTATAAAAACTCCTCTTCCCCAAGTCAGTCATCAGTTTCGGACTCCGTTCACAACTTTCCTCCAGCTGCACGACAAAATTGAAGTTCTGTACCAGAAGTCAAGATAAAAAAATAAACGTCCTGTAAAGTGCAGTTTAGAGAATGAGAACGTCTCCCCAAAAATGTTCGTGTGTGTATGTGTGATGCTTATGAGCGCCGTCGGCATGAAAACACACCTGGATGTGTAGTGATTGTACCACAGGTAGGTCCTCAGCTGTCCGACAGGTGTGGACAGATGCTGAGGAAGTATGGAGGCAGCAGGGAGCCAAAAAGACATATTCATGCACTGGTCCAAGGGGAACTGGACTATTGGCATCTTCACTGGTTCTGTTCTGAATAATAATAATAATGTTATGTAAAAAAACCCGACTCCTCTTAAATGAGCAAAAAACTGAAGGGAGTATGGTTTAATTATTTCACTGTTTTCCAGAACAAGTCATTCTACGGAGCCGCCTGAAGCCCATAAGTATAATATATTTCTTAACACAAGAATTTGTGTAAATTTCTTAAATTATCTGGGCCCACGATTATAACTTTGGCGCCCAACATATCAATATGTGCCCCGAAACAATAGATAATAACTGCATCACTAAGACAATAACTTAACAAAATGTTAAAGTTTGTGTCTTGTGTGCACACAAACTAACAAGAATGTTTCAGAACTTCGCTGGCTCTTTAGATCTTTTTATATTCCTCAAAGAATAATAATAAAAAGGGCTTTGGTATCTGTTCCAAAATGTCAGGTTGTATCGGCAAACGATACCCGGCTCTAACCAATGGTAGGATTAAATGAGCCGAGAACAGACGCCACTGTTCAGAGATGATTTAATAATCTCTGGAAAACGAGAGGAATTGTCTCTTTAAATGAAAACAGTAAAATGCCTCATTAAGACAGGATGTTTTGTGCTTTCAATGTGAAGAAAAGAAAACGACCTTTGTGAGTAATGAGCCTGAAGTGGTGTGTTGATGTGTAAAGCATTGAGATTGTCAAATTCATGCTGGTGTTACTTTTCTCTTTGTGACTTTCAGAAAACAAAACAAACGGGTCGCTCGCTACGAGTCATTTTGAAAAATATATTTCTGGTCGTCACGAGAAGCATAAAGTCAAGAACAGATTTACAGAAAAACTGCGTAAAAAGGCAACAGAACGGATGCCGCCTCCTGTTTGGCCTCTGGTCCCGGCTTTCTGCCTCCACAGCGTTAAAAAAAAAAAGAAAAAAGATCAACAGTCTTTCAAACGTCAGACTGACTCGAACAGACGCTAAAAAACCTGGATATGTTCTTCGAGCTGACGGGTCTGAGATTGTCGGCGTACGTTTGAAGTGATATTCTGTAGAAAAATATAATGAGGCAATATAAAAAAGACGGAATGAAAAGTACTGCAAGAGTTCAATGGACAGATTTACAATGATTTTTTCTATATAGCTTATAAATACGTTATCTACACAATATGTGGTACAAAAATACTATATAGCATTTAGTGGGCACTGGATTTCCTTTGTGTTTTTTTTTTTCTCAAAGTACCAACAACATAAAACATTTAAAATAAAAATAAAAAAGCATATGAAGATGTTGTAACTGGTCAGGCACAAGATCGTGTTCTTGGAGGGAGACGCTGCTGCTTCCTCCGTGTTTGACAACAAGGGGTTAAAAAAAACAAACAAAACAACAAGATTAAAACCAAGAGGTGGAGGGAGAGAGTGACGGATGCAGCTTTGGGTCGTTTTCACTTAAAACAGTTGCAGTCGAGCATTCGAACGTTTCAACGAGACAGGAAATGTCACACACGAGCGTGCGTTTTGGTTTAAACCGTATGGGATGCGAGTCATGTTCTCAGCGGCCTGATCTCTTAGCGTGTAGTGGGAAAAAAAAAATTTGATTTGTGCGTACGGAGGCCCTGAAGGGACACGAGCGGAGTTCTGCTAAAAAAACAAAAACAAAAAAAAGGCAGATTGTCTTGAGATCTTCGGGACCTTCCCCTCGTGTCCCTCCAGGGCCTCCGTACTCTAGCTCTGCAGCCTCGCCAATACTTGGGTAATAAATATGTGCCTTGCGTTAGTGTTATTGCTTCACCTTTCAGAACCTGGTGTCACATGACTCACATCCACGACAGACACAACCGTTTTTTGTAAAACGAGGAGGTAAATTTTTAAATCAAAGACCCAGTACCACGTTCTCCAGCGTTCCAGTTTACATGGTAACTACAGACAAGATGGCCGCCTCCGGGAGGGCGGGGGTGGGGGGACTTTTCTCTTCTTCTCCTGTAGCGATTGATGTTTTTCATATTTGGCATCGGATAAGTTAAATCGTCCTGCTGTTTGTCCTTCAGCCTCGTTCTCCTCCTGCTTTTAAGGCAACTTATATTTGTGATGATTTTAATAAAACATTTTTCTTAAAAAAAATTTACAAATTTCTTAATACAAACCTCGATGGCGTCATCAGTAAACACTGTATAGAAAATATAAATATGCTTTTTCTCTTTTTCACTGTACAAATGTTCTGCAGCTCCTCCTTTTTTGTTCCTCTTCTCGTCTCGCGCCTCCTCATCAGTCTCTCTTCCCATTTTTAACCTCTTTATATGCACAATTGCTATTTACAGTGAGGGGGCGGAGCCGTGCCGAGGGAGGGGGGGGGGGGGTTAGCTCACGAGGAGTCCGTGCAGGGCGACGGCGGCGGCGGGTAGAGGTGGTGGGAGTAGCTGCGTTCGGTGTAAGGCGACGGCGGGCAGCTCTCACAGTTCTCCTCCGCCGACAGGTACTGGCTGCGGGGGGTCGGCGGCGGCGGGAAAGGCTCCGAGTCGTAGTTGAGGTCGCTGGTGTAGCCCTTAGCGGCGGCGGCGGAGCTGGACTTGAGCGGCGCCCGGCGTCCCGGCGTGTAGTCGCTGTCGCACACGTCCGTGCTGCAGGGGGTGGTTGGGGGGGCGAAGTGGCGGTAGGTGTAGGGGCGGTAACTGAGAGAGAGAGAGAGAGAAACAACACAATGAATGAGAGGCGACGTCTTTTTATTTTATCCCCATTCAAGTTAGCCGAGGGCTGAACAGGAAGACTCGACGCAGAAGTATAAATCAGGCTTAAGGTCTCGAGTTGTGTCTCAGGTGAAGAAGCTACAAACGGAGCTGCGAAGGATTTAAACCCAGCGAGCGTTCAAGACTTGAAAGCAAAGAAGCAGACTGCAGTTGAAAGCAGCTCTGTGAGATGGAAAACAATGGGAGCAGTTTGTGGATTTCAGGAATCAGTTTCAGTGAAGTCTGCGAGTACCTGTAGGATCTGTGTGTGGAGGGACTGTTGGAGGAGTAACCAAACTCCATGGTGTACTGGGAGCGGACCGTGGCAGGAGACGGAGGAGGATTCAGGATCTGTACCGAGAAAAGACACGTCAGTTTCACTCTGAACAAAAAGGCTATAAAACTAAATAACCGACGTTATCTGCAGAACCGCAGCGACGCTTTATGATCCCTCGTTTCACTTTCGTACCAGTTGCGTTTAAAAGCAGTTTGCTTTCTTTAAATTTCATTAAAGCTGCTTCATTTAAACCCAAGAAAACAAATTAAAAACTGATATTTTACTTTTAATCATTATAAACGTGATTCTTTCCACCAAACCTCTTTGAAAATAAAGCGAATTTAAAGACCCGTTAAATAAGTTGTGGAGTCTGATGTTTGTCTGAATTAAGAAGCACTCAGGAAATAAAGATGAACCTCTGACAGAACACTTGACCATGGATGATGATGCAGTGGGAGGAGCTGAAAACTCAACCGGGGGGAAGTAGGTGCCCTTGGTGCTGGACGAGCTG